GAGCCCGAGCTGGCCTTCGGAGCCAAGCAGGCCTGGCGGAACGCGGCGCGCTGCGTCGGCCGCATCCAGTGGAACAAGCTCCAGGTGCGACCCCACCCCTGGGACCACGCCCACCACGACCCGTGGGGACACCGAGCACACACCACCCTGTCCCCCCGCAGGTGTTTGATGCCCGGGACTGTGCAGGGGTAGGGGAGATGTTCAGCCTCCTCTGCTCCCACATCCAGTTCGCCACCAACCGCGGAAACATCCGGTGAGTGCCCTCCCGGCCCCCCCGACCCCCGTTGCCGGAGGGGGTCTGTGACGGCCCCCCCCGATCCCCCCAGGTCTGCCATCACCATCTTCCCGCCGCGGGCACCGGGACGGGGTGATTTCCGCATCTGGAACCCGCAGCTGATCCGCTACGCCGGGTACCGGCAGCCCGACGGCTCCGTCAGGGGCGACCCCGCCAACGTGGACATCACCGAGGTGGGGCACCCCTGGGCCCCCAGACCACCCTCATCCCCCCTCTATCCCCCCCTTCATCTCCTCCTCCTTCGCCTCTCTGTCCCCCCCTCCACACCTCCTCCAAACCCTCTCCATCCCTTCATCCTCACTCCATCCCCCCTCCACCCCCATCTCCTCACGCCCCCTCCATCCTTCCTCATCTCGTGCTCCATCTTGCCCCCCAGTTCCTGTGTCCCCAGACTCCCCTGCCTGGTGACCCCCCCTGACACTGTCCCCCCCTCCCAGCTCTGCATCCAGCACGGCTGGACCCCCGGGGGAGGCCGCTTCGACGTGCTGCCGCTGCTGCTGCAGGGCCCCGAGGAGTCCCCCGAGCTCTTCCCGCTCCCCCCCGGAGCTGGTCCTCGAGGTGCCGCTCCAGCACCCCACGTGAGTGGGGCTGCGACCCCCCGGGGCCCCCCTGGCCAGGGGACCCCTTGGGACACCCCTCCGGGCTGAGATCCAACGGGGTCGTTCTTGGAGAGGGAATGGAGGGGACGAGAGGGGATGGAGGGGGCATGGAGGTTGGGGACCCCCCCTGGGGACGTGGGGCTGTTGTGGGGCTGATCCCATTCCTGACTGGGACACTGGTCTGCTGACCCCCTCCCTGGCTGGGATACTGGGATACTGCTTCCTTCCTGGGCTGGGATACTGGGATACTGCCCCCTTCCCGGGCTGGTATGCTGC